TCAAATGATGATGAAATGAGAGATAGTGCTGCCATCGTTTTGTGAGAATGCGATGAACAAGGAACATAACCAAATGAGGCAATAATGGAGGTTGATGATACTCAAGATCCTGAGGTTGGATCATGTGATGTATTCTCTGGTTTTGTAAAACTTGGTTTCGTAATGGTACAACTATGTATGTCTTTGATTTCGTGTTTTTATGTATTCTTTGGTTTTGTAAAACTTGGTAAAACTTGGTTTCGTAATGGTACAACTATGTATGTCTTTGATTTTGTAAAACTTGGTTAAACTTGATTTGGTATAACTACGAAGAAATTAACAAATCTTCATAAATTCAAAATTATATCATAATGCTTGTTGTAATGAAATAGACAACTTAGTGTTACATAATCAAATTAGTGGTTTGTAATCACAATTTGGTAAATAAAATTTTCAAAAATCTTACACATTTGAACTTTCTACATGAAAGTTCTTATACTTTTAAGATGTCTTTCTTTTGAATATCCATGGTGAATGTCGAAAGTCTGAAAAATCAACATTTTACAAATATTATTGAATGAATATGTTTGGAATTTACCACATATACATAAAATTATGTGTACAACTAATAAAAATTAATATTAATCCAAGAATAACTAATTATATAGAAAAACCCCAAAAGTCCAACTGTGTGTAAGCGAGTACAACTTGTAAACTTGGAAAAACTGTGTATATTTGACGGCGCCATGTGTACAAATGACGGCGCACACGTGTACAAATGACGGCGCACACGTGAATAAAACAGGCCCCACGTGTCCCAAAATTGAAATTTTTCCATTTTTTTTGGGTTTTCTCCCAAATTTGACGGCGCACATGTGTAAATTTGATTCACACATGTGTAAATTTGACAGTGCCAATAGTTTTACCTAGTAATACCAGTAGTATAAATAAAAAAACAAAACCAACATAGTTTTACCTAGTATTACCAATTGTACAAATCTAAACAACAACCATAAGACAAAGATATAGTGAAGAAGGCATATCATACAACGCTCTTAGAAAATATGACTCCATGGACGTAGCATCTTATTCAGTCTTTGTGTGCCCAATAACAATGCTAGTTAAGAAGTAGAGGACTGTGTAAAAAAAAAAAAAAGTCAAAATTTTCTCTCAAATGGCTCCACGGACATAGCATCTTCTCTAGTCATTTCGAACATTCGATTTTGGGTAAGCTTTTAACATGGAGAGAGTTATCTTCTCCCCTGATGTCTTCATCATCAAGCTATACATGCGACCTTGGCATTTGAAATATTCTTCTTCACCTCCAGCTACCATGATACTATCAATTTCATGTGGAATATGACTCCATGGACGTATCATATTCTCTAGTCTTTGTTGCCCAATAACAATGCTAAATAAGTAGAGGACCGTGTGGAATAAATTAAAAAGTCGAAATTTTCTCCCAAATGGCTCCACGGACGTAGCATATTCTCCAGTCATTTCGAACATTTGATTTTGGGGAATCAACAATTAATTATTGTTATACTTTCTTCATAAGTTTCTCAAAAGACTGATAATTATACCTAGTTGTACCAGCATTACAAATAAAATCCGACTAGTTTTATCTAGTTATACCAATACTATGACAGGGTTATCTTCTCCCCTGATGTCTTCATCATCAAGATATTCATGCGACCTTCGCATTTGAAATATATGATCACGTTCTCCCTCATTGTATCCTGCCAAAACAATACAAAAACTCTGTTAGTAATACTAGTTTTACTAGTTCTACTACATTTGTAGTAATACTAGTGTAACTTGTCATATTACATATATTTGGGTAATACTAGTGTAACTAGTCATACTACATATATTTGAGTAATACTAGTGTAACTAGTCATACTATATATATCTGGGTAATACTAGTGTAACTAGTCATAGTTATACCTTTGTATTACCAGTATTACTGATAATAGTAATACCCTTGTATTACCAGTATTACCCAATTCTACATGTATATCACACACAATAGTATTCCCTGTTCTACCAGTTTTACCAAGATACCTTAGTATTTCCCTGTTCTACCAGTTTTACCCAGATATCCAAATAATGTTACCCTATTATACCAGCATTACCCAATTCAAATACTTACCATCTCCGCCGCATTTTTCACTCGATTTCCATCTGCTATCTCATCCTCGATACTCTCATCAGAGGAGGAGTCCAACAAGGTTGTACTACTACCACTAGTCTCTCCTCCGTCTTCGCCATTCCCTTGACCTTCTTCGTTCTCTTCTTCTTCGTTCTCTTCTTCCTCATTCCCATACTCTTCTTCCTCATTCTCTTCTTCATCTGCCTCGACAACCGGACTTAACATTGAAACTTCTTCTTCAACTCCTTCTCCTCCCTCAATTGGCTTCTTTAACTCCGTCGGGGATGGCTGCAAACTCGTTGCTCCTCCATCTTCTTCCCTTACTTCTTTTCATCGATCTGGAGCATACGTTCCCCTCTTCCTCTTTCTCCCAGCCATAATCGACAACAAGGATTTCTCGAAGATAAAACAGAGATTTAAAGGGAGAGAATTGGCAACGAAATCGAGAGATATATGAAGTTGAAATCGAGAAATCGTGGAGATAACGGTTGTCTCTTTTGAATTTCTTAACTATTGAAGACGAATTGAATGTCCACGTCGTGGAAAGAGGAAAGAAAACGAAAACGCAGAAAACGGAGAGATAATGGTCGTGAGAGAAGTTGGCTCGTTGAGAGGAGTTAGGGTTCGTGGGTTTTCGGGTTAGATCCAAAATCAGTTTGGTTGGATGGATAAAACCCAGGTTTAATGTGTAGTTTTAGTATTTTAGCTAGGGTAATATTGTAACTTCCGGCATTTTCGATTTAAAATTAAATACAATTTTTATTCTGTTTTTAACGGGGAGATATGGGGTTAGAGTTTGTCAAAAGGGGACTCCCCAGACGATTTCTCCTCTCTCTCGAGAAGAACACACGACGGCGATGACAACTCCGATCTCTGGAAAACTCGAGACTCAAGTCGATTCTCCGATTCAAAATCGTTACTCTCTTGTTACTGAAATCAGATCCAACTACGGTACGATCGCTCAATTCTAGAGGTTTTCCTTTTCCCGTCCTTGAGATTTATCTTCTCCAATCGCTCGAGATCGAGAATGTTTGTATGGTAGAATTTCTTGCGATTTGTTTTTTTCTGATTCAATAACATGATTAGTATAAGAATTTCCCAATTCCATTAGAGGATGCGACGGATTTTGAAGAGTTTCTGGTCAGGATTTGCCGATGTATCTCTAATTCCAGATATGATAAGGTGAGTTTTTTACCAGATTTCATTTTCATTGAAGAAATTATGGTGAATTTGATCTTTGATTGCTGATTTTTATTGTTTTTGTGATGAATTGTGGATGCATGTAAGTCCTTAACAAATTTAGTTCCAGTTCTCATTGGACTTAGTATTGTAACACTAGTAATTAAGTGAAAGATATTGTCCATGCTTCTCTTCTAGAAATTAGAGTGTTTTGAAGTTTAATTTCAGTTTACCATTGATCTCTGTTGTTAAGCTTCGACCATGTTTACGCTTATAAGAATTTCTTATATCAGTGCTCACGTTATCTCTCTCTTTATTTCATTCTCTTTTATTTGCTGATATATTTTCTTTGTACTTTGATGTATGTAATTTAGGCCAAATTGGATGACAAAACATCATTGTGTCAAGCAATACAAAGACTGCAATTTGAACAGAACCAAAGAGTAATTTGAGTTCATGGATTTCACTTAAAGCTGGTATGTTCTTCACATGCTTTACATACATTTGAACTTGATCCTAATATACCCTTTCTCTTGAACAAGTTGAGGTAAGAATGCTGTAGAGATTGATTTAACTTGGTTTCATCATGTTTTTAAGTTTGTTAGTGATTTGTCAGCTGTTAGAGATCTTCTAGATCGAAACACAAGAACCCATCTTAAATTCCTCGCTATTAGTACTATGTCATTCTTCTTTTGGGATGTTTATGTGTATGAGTTGATATTTTGAGTAATCTGTTCATCTTTAGTTCTTTAGAACAATGACAATAAAATCTGATAACCCTCTGTTTCTTTCTATAGAATGGGCACTTTTAGTCTGTAAGGAGAAGAAAGATCCTTCAACACTCTCTGTCCAAGATTGCTCTGGCTTCCTAAATCTTTGGTACGTTCTTGTTGCGTTATAGATGACATAACAATCAATCTTCTTCCTTTAGCTAGAGTGTTTTTAAGTTCATCGGGTTTGTGTTCTTTAAGAATAGTTACATATATATGTATGTATATTCAGTATGTTCTCTGGTTTAACGCATTTACTGTAGAAAGGCGATTATGACTACAAAACTCTATAGTTATTATGTTCAGGCACAATTTTGTGTTCATTGCTGAAAGGATCTACCATCTATTGGAGGAGAAGAGCGTAGAGGACAAGTAAAGCAACAAATGTTGTCCAGACAAGTGTGACAGAAGTTGTGGTTCAAAGTTTTGAAGATAAGGCCAGAAGAAAAAGTTTTGAAGGTGTGAGTATATAGTAGAAATATTGTGGATATTTTAACATGACACATTTGTATATTTACAGTGGAATTTTAAGTTTTATCAATAGAAATTTTGTATGGCTCACTATAGTTTCAAAATGTTTGTTTATGCAATTTTTATTTAATAAGTAATTAGTATAATGCCAATAAAAAGGAAATTAAAAACACAGCATCGGTTCCAAAAACGACAAAAGGCAAAATATCACCGTCGTTAATATTTAGAAAACCTACGTAATTTATCTGACGTTATATATAGCGTCGGTTTATGAAACGATGTAAAAAAAATTAACGTCGGACCTTATTACGACGGTCGGCAAAGCAACGCTAATATATTGAAGACAGTTGTTAGAGTTAATAAAAAGTGACGTTAAACCCCATGTTATGACTCTTATTTTATGCAGTTGTACTTATATAAACATCCAAAAGATATAACATCATTTCATAAACCAAACATCAATTCATATATAACATAAGTCTTAGTCCAATAGTTAAACTAATATCCTTACTTCTATATATATACTACTTTTGTAATGGTAAACATTACATGAAGATATAAAGAAGCCTGTAAGAGGTCGTTTGAAAATGTTTAAGGTAGAAGAGCTCTTCTTCGTATCCTTTGCCTTTCGAAGTCTTTTTGGCTTATGTTCATCAAATGTCGACGTATTCCTGAAAAACATAAACAATACATTGATATAGAAACAATACATTCAAGTCAGAGGTAAGGCAAAACCAGTTTTACTTCTCTCCAAGTTTCTTCTTAGCCTCAGTCCGTGTCTCAACAACTTGAGCTTCTGAACAACAACAAGAACTAAATCCACAGACCACAGAGATTATGAGAACACTGAAAACACAAAATATAGTAAGGAGGTTAAAAGACAAAGAGATGAAATATAGGAAGCTTTTGCTCTAAAAAGAAGCTTTTCTCTTTTGGCTTCTGGATATTGAAGAACCTAGATAAAAAAAAAAAACTACAAACAAATAGACGGAACTGTGGCCACAACACACATATGAATCAATAACCAAAGGAGACATGCACATAGTGACAAAAACTCATGTTTAAAGATGAAAGTAACATAGCTAATGAACAAATTTATAAAGAATGTTTTTCATTACTTAACCAAAGAGATTTACAGAGAATATATATAGAGGTATACAACAAGTTATAGGTCCTACAAAGAAGGAAACAACTAGGAAACGGATGTCGTGGAGTAGTTAAATGAGATATCCCATTTTGTGAAAGGAATGAGGCAAGAGCAACAAACTCAACACAAAACTCAAACAATCCATAGATTAGATTAGCCAAACTGCAATTAGAACAGCAAACAAAAAGACAAAAGTTTTTCCAAAACAAACATATAAATAATTGACACAAAGAGACACGTAAAAGGTTCATGTCTAAAGATGAGATTTTGGAAGAATTTAACAAAGCTAATGGGTCAACTAACACATTAAAAGATTGAGAATTTGAGTGTTTAGTTCCTAATAGCCCAATGAGGCAAAATCCCATTAATCAAGTTCTTAATAGCAATGGCCTTACCAATAAGTTCTTGAATATCAGACCCAATCAAAAAAAATTCAGCCATAACCCACAAAACCATTCTCGCCCAAGTCGGATACCCATCACAACAAAGCTCAGCTAAGTCAAGACCCGTCGCAACACCAAGCAACGCTGATAAGAGATTAAGAGCTAAACCATAAGTGATATCTAAAAATTACCTTAATCTGTTGGTAGAGCTCAGACATTTGAAAAAGAATGGTGCGAAGCTTGCTTCAATGGCAAAATAACAGCGGGGATTTCCTCTACAAGATTTCCAAGCCGCATGCGCTATCAATTTCGTTAGAGATGAAATCATAAACACAAAATTAGAAAAACCCTAGATACCCTTTCAAAACCACCAGAGACGGCGCATAGATCGAGAACGACATGGGAATAGAGGAGGAAAGAGCACGGGCATCAAGCTGTGAAATGGCTGGAGGCAGTCGATCCGATTGAAGCCATCACCGGAAAATACAAGCTGCATCTCTTGAAATCGATCTCGATTTGTCGGGTACACGGACGGAGGAGGCGGCTGGTCTCGCCGGAAGAAATAGCTGAGATGAGTGACAAGGTGGACCTGAGTGATGAGAGAACTTTCTTAGAGAAGAAGAGACGACTTTTGGGGAAAAATGTCGAAAAATGCGCGAATTTTCAAATTTGGAACAAGAAAAACATGAACTTTCGAAATATCATTTAAATCATAAAGTTTAGTTTGACTTTTGATAAAATGGTTAAGTTTTCGTTGACTTGGCTATTTCGGGCATATCGTTAAATTTCTGTTAACGAGACCCTGATGGGGTTAACTTTCCGTTAGAAATATCCGTTGAATCGAAACGACGTCGTTTTGAATTGATGTGATATTTATAGTTAGATTGGAAGTATATATTAAAAAAACGTTTTTATAAAATTATAAGAACAATTCAAAACGATGTCGTTTCAATTCAACGGAGATTTCTAACGGAAAGTTAACCCCGCCATCTTCTCGTTCACGGAAATTTAACGACATGTCCAAAAGGCCAGGTCAACGAAAACTTAACCATTTTATCAAAAGTCAAACTAAACTTTATGATTTAAATGACATTTCGAAAGTTCATGCTTTTTTTGTCCCAAATTTGAAAGTTCGCGCATTTTCCGACATTTTTCTCTTTTTTTTTGTCTTCGATGAATTAAGGGTTATGAATTATGACTTGAGGTTTTTTTTTTTCTTTTAAGTTATGGGCGCTAAATCTATAATTTTAGGTAAATGTTGGCGGTCATAAGTGATTTTAGCTTTCTACTTCGTTAATTTTGTGCTTAGCAATTATGAAAATGAGCTATCGTCATGTGTTATCAATGTTCATTTTTCTTGTAGTGAAACCTGATTGTATAATTTCCTTAATAATTTTTCTATTTTAAAATTTTTTTTTTGTACAATTACTAACTTAGAAATAAAAAGTTAAGTATAATTTTACAATTTTGATTTTGATAGAAAATATACGTATAATTTCTTTATATATACGTATAGTTTTTTTACTATGATCTAACTGTTTAAATATATAATATTTATATAATTATCTTTTAACCATTTTTAAGTTGTTTAAAACAAAATGTTTGGTTTCTAGGTGGCAAAATCTCTTATGGAAATATAGGAACAATTTCCTTATAATTAGTTGTTTACATTTTAAAACTGTTTCCATTTATAATTTTCTTATAATTATCTTTTTACCTTTTTATTAATTAGAAAGGAAAAATTATTTGATACATGGCAAAATCTGAGATCAAAATATTTGACACGTGTCATGATATAAGATTGGAACCAATCCAACTTATGATCATTCAATGATCAAGAGATTCCAAGCTTAATCCCGCGGAAGGATGGAAACGACGTGGAGATAGAATGATTGACTCGCTCAATCAATGGGTTAATCGACTCACTCGATCAATGAACGAAAGAAGGTTGTTGAACTTATCAACAATCTTGATCCGCAGATTGAAATAGGCCTAAGAGACTCAAACTTTGACAAGAAGAAAATGTTCTTATTACTTTAATATGATCAAGGATGTTTTTACAATGAGGAATGAGCTGAGCTTTTATAGAGCTCTTACACAACGGTTATGAAGTCTAAAACAAGAATAAAATCGCAAAATTAAATGACAAAGTAGCCGTTGGAGATTTAATGAGAAAATCGTCCAAGTAAGAAAATAGCCGTTGGTCTTCAGCCTGGAAAGCTTGGGCGTGTATAGGTGGCTCCTTGGGACGTTTAGGTTCACTGCATTAAGTTGGAGAAGGCGCATAAGTGATTGGGGAAAGATCTGTTTTGCATTGATGCCTCTCGTGTCCGAATAAGGCAAACTCGGCTCCGGATATGGAAAGTGAAGGTGTGGAAGGATCCGCCTGATCCTGTGTGTCTTGGTGCACCTTAGAGTGTTGTAGGAGGCTTCTAGAAGTAGAAAAACGTCTCCTGGGCGCCAATGATACGTTTGGAGTCTCCTAACCCCGCAAGAGTCCAAATAAGGCAAGCTGAGAATCATCTGGTTTAGAAAATTAATATCTTCATGTATGTCCAAATCGGGCATGCTGGGAAATTGAATAACTCGTTCGTGTGAACTCCTTTTGGGCTGATTCTTCTTCGAGGTGCTCGGTATTTGAGCTGAGAATGTATTCCAAGTATTCTCTGGGACGGAGGACATGATCTTGGACTTCGTCTGGACTGAACAAGGCTCAGGGGTCTTCTCGGGTAGGCTGAATCTGGTTTGGCCCGAAGTTGTAGATAAAACTTTGTTAAAAATCCCACTTGGCTGCTCCTGGGTTGTTGTTTCTCGCCCATAATCTTCTCCATGGTTGGTTCTTGGGTTGATGACCGCATCATGTCACGATCTCGTGAGTTACTAACTTTGAAACCCTTCTTATATATTAAAGGAGAAGTCAAAAGTGCTCATGTTCGCTCTCACCCCCCCCCCCCTTTAATGAGATTAAATTAGTTAAATTGCCAAATTATTTATAATAAAAAAAACCCGAGGTTTAAAAATTTTAATATCTCGGATTTGTTTGGTCGTCGTATAGAAACCCTAATCTGACTATTGGGCTTATTTTCTGTCTAAAAAATGGCCCGGTATAATTTACACCGTCATATGTGAACCCCTAAAACTTTATGTTAGAAATCCCTATAAATATAGGAGGTCTCCCTAGAAACTCAAACATCACGGTTTGATTTTTATGCATAGCCATTATGGTTTATAGTGTTTTTTGTACCTCAAAATTGGTCCTTTCTATGATGCGTCATCATCGATATTTTGTTCTCCTTTTTATGTTATGGTCACTTGGAAAGTAAGATCTCATAGATCTTTGCCAATTGTTGATGAGTTTTTTAAACGAGGTTTATAGTTTGATCTATTACAGCTTTTGGTTTTCGTAGTTGTTTGGTTTAATATGCGAGAGTATTCTCATGTTTTGATTAGCACCTTTTTCTTTGATTAGGTACAAAACAATCTCAGGTGTGTCTCTAATCTTGTTTGATCTATGCGTATAAAAAACAAAAAAAATCTTATATTGATTTCTTTTTCTGTTTTGTGACTATATAGATACGATCATTGATAGTAGAATTTTTTTTTAGTTTCTCAATTCCTATAGCACTATCATGTCATTGTAGTACTTATGGTTATCAACCCATTTTAAGTGTGATGCAAACAGATGAGATGTGATCAGGAGTCACTAAGTCAAGCCAAGCAGAAATGAGTTTGGTTTTTTAACAGTTCTAAATGATCATGTAGAAAACAGTAAAATTGCAGAAATGGACTGCTATACTCGATCACACCGTCTCACTGCCAAAAGGGAGGGTGTGATCGAGTAAACCAGTGGTCACAGAGAAACATTGTTAAAACTTAAGCAACAAGTAACAAAGTAAACGAATAATCAAGTAAATGAACAGATTAATCAAATAGACGAGAAATTCCTAAGGATAAGGTAATCGAATGGAGTGGTATCCGTAGCCTATTCAGATGGTTAACAAAACGCAATCAAGTTATCCCTAGACAACAGGTTCAACAACAGATCAATTCACTACTATGATAGAAATCCTCAAGCAAAGCTAGCCTAGACTAATTCCCAGTAACGGAATCTAACTATGCAGGCAATACGATTCAACCTATTAAAGTCGATAAATGCTCTAGACGGCCAATCCCTTGGGATAGAGAAGAAAATCTCTAGAACTAGTAAATCAAGCATTCTATCAAACACCTTCTGGGTGCGGGAATGGTTTAGATCAGATTCTAGTTGATCAGACAGAAATAAGCAGTAAACACAACTAGTCCAGAAGGGATTCAATCAATTCTAGCACTTAACCATCTAAAAGACTATATATCCCACAACCCTTCTATTCCATCCTTAAGAACTCTAGGCCACTACTCAAAGACATGAACACGAATAGCAAAGAAAATTGCATAACTAAAAAAATCAAGAGAAGAGAAACAGAGTGATAGAAGAAATCAAATGCCGAATCTGAATAACTTGGAAGTAACTCGAACTACAAAGTTGCAGAAACAAAGCGGCGAAAGACTTAGGTAAGATAGAGTAAAAACTAGGTAAAAACTGAGATATCTCGGGACAAACCCTTGATATGTCTATATTTTACTAGTTTTTACCATGCATTTACATCTCATTTAGTCTAGTTTCATGTCTTTAAAACTGAGTTTGCATCATTTAGCTTCACTTTCAGCATTTAGGATCATTCTACATCTCTGTTGCATACATTCTTGCATTTTGGAGTTGTATCAGGTGTTTTTAGGTACTAAAGGGCTGTGGAGGAGTATGTACTCGAGTACCCACTCGAGTACCTACTCGAGTTCACCTGATAGCATCACCAGAGCAGACTGTATGAAGAATGGAACAACCTACTCGAGTACCCACTCGAGTACCTACTCGAGCAGAACCAGAGCAACCTACTCGACGAGTGCTAGAGAAGAGTACTCGAGCAGCTTCATGGAGACTAGACCAACCTATTCGACTAACCTACTCGAACAGGACCTGAGAGACTTAACCGAGCAAGATGCAACCTTTGAAGAATAGACTACTCGACCAAGCCACTCGAGTACCAACTCGAGTAGACCTTAAACCAACTTTTTATTTTGTCGTTTTGTGTACTAGGGTTTTCTACTTTTGCTATAAATAGACCTCTTAGGGCTTTGCCCAAAGGATCTCGTTTTTAGCCTCTGAACAATATTTTCTACAAACTTTTGTAATCCAAATTACTTTTGATCCTTTGAGTTTTTGCAATTATTTTCTTCTTCAAAGTTGTTTATCTTGCCTTGATCTATAACATATGAAGTTTTTATTGATTTCTGGGTTCGTGCAAATTTCTGGGTTTGTGTTCTTGAGCATGTCTGAGTAGTGGATTAGGGTTCTTGAGGATGGGATAGATTAAGTGTGGAATCCTTAGTTTATTTAGGTGGTTAAGTGTAGAATTGCTTGAATCCCTTCTGGTTTAGTAGTGCCTAATGCTATTTCCTCTCTGATAAATTGGAAGTTGATCTCGGACATTTCCACACCCACAAGGTTTTTGATGAAATGTCTGAACAAACTACTCCAGAGATTTACATACTCTAGCCCAAGATATTGGATGATTAGAATGTTCATTGACTATATTAGATTGAATCTTAATGCCTGCTAGGTTATATTTCATCAATAAGAATTGAGTTTGAAAGTGACTTAGCTTGAGGATCTCTGTCACGAGAGTGGAATGATTTGTATTTGAATCTATTGTCTAGGGATAGCCTGTTTGGATTGTTAATCACCTAAGTAGACTAAAGAGACTGCTATAATCGATTACCCTATCCTCAGGACTGTGGATATAGGATTCACACTCGATTATCTTTAAGTATTTTTGTGGAGAAAAACTCTTGTTAAATCAGGAAATAAATATGAGAATTTGAAAAGGAAAACAACCAAGAAAAGGAGTAAAGAAATTTGACGAAAGATGAAGTGCAAAATGCCTTGCGAAAATAGTAAAGACCGAAAAATGTATTGTATTGTTTAGAAGTAATCAGTAATGAGATTCGTCCTCCCTAAACACATGCGTTTGAGGTTGTTTTTATAGAGAAAACATGATCAATGCGATCATTTACTGCTCATAATCACGTTGATCTGCATTAATCACGTAAGTTACACTTTGACCGAAACGGCTTGAATTTGAACTATCTTGGGCTTCGCGTGGATCTTCCGAACTCTTTCTTGTTGACTCCGAACTCCCGCGTCTTGACGCTGCCGCGAGCCTCGAACAATATTCTCCTCGCTTCGGCCTTTCTCTATGCGAAATGTATGTTGAATAAGAGCGAACTCTGTACTGGTAAAGATCGATTCTCATAACAAAATATCTTTAATTCCAAGAGGATTATTATGTAATAATGACGTGGACAGATCCAAGTGGATCCTACCAAAAATGTGCGGGATCCGACCCCAACAAGGACCTTTTTTTTTTTTTTTTTGCTTATCTCTTTACCTGTTGCTTACTTGCTTATTGCTGTTTAGTATTGATAGTTATTTCTCTTTATGCATGATCACTCATGTTCTGTAGTTTTATCGTTTATGCATGATCGCTTAGGATTGCTAAATAACAAAACAATATCCTGCCTGGCTTGACTTAGTTGTTTCTGAGCATATCTTGATTGTTAGTAAGAGCACCTGATTGGATTGATAACCTCTTATACTGCAATGACATGAAAGTATATTAGGGTAATTGATAGTAATAACCTTAGTATCAATTTGGCGCCGTTGCTTTTTGGGTATCTGCTTGTTACATTCAAGATTTTTGAATTGCTAAGATCAAGTTCTTTCTTTTACTTTGGTTACTAACTTCTCTCTTCAACAGCTTGTTTTTGTGTTCCAGGCACTAGCTCGAGTCCATACTCCAGACGTGCATGCAAACTCTATGCGAACTGTATGTTGAATAAGAGCGAACTCTGTACTGGTAAAGATCGATTCTCATAACAAAATATCTTTAATTCCAAGAGGATTATTATGTAATAATGACGTGGACAGATCTAAGTGGATCCTACCAAAAATGTGCGGGATCCGACCCCAACAAGGACCTTTTTTTTTTTTTTTTTTTGCTTATCTCTTTACCTGTTGCTTACTTGCTTATTACTGTTTAGTATTGATAGTTATTTCTCTTTATGCATGATCACTCATGTTCTGTAGTTTTATCGTTTATGCATGATCGCTTAGGATTGCTAGATAACAAAACAATATCCTGCCTGGCTTGACTTAGTTGTTTCTGAGCATATCTTGATTGTTAGTAAGAGCACCTGATTGGATTGATAACCTCTTATACTGCAATGACATGAAAGTATATTAGGGTAATTGATAGTAAAAACCTTAGTATCAATTTGGCGCCGTTGCTTTTTGGGTATCTGCTTGTTACATTCAAGATTTTTGAATTGCTAAGATCAAGTTCTTTCTTTTACTTTGGTTACTAACTTCTCTCTTCAACTGCTTGTTTCACTACAAGAAAACATGAGATTAGCGACTTAATTCGGCGACTAATTTTGCAGTCGCTACATCTAGTGACCGTTTAGCTACGTTTTGGCGACTAAATATGAACCAAAATACGATAGTCGCTAATTAGTATCTAATATGAGACTGATTTATATTGTCGTTATATAGTCGCTAAATATGGCGAAGGATTAGTTACCGAATATTTAGTCGCCAACTGGAGCGACTCAGTGGCTACGAATTAGCGACTGCGTAATTCTAGTTGGACATTCAAATTGGGCCCAAAAGCCCAACAACCCAGTAACGTTAGCCCATGAGCCCAAGTATGAACGTTTTCTACGTTCTCCCTTCGTAGAAAACCCTAATCCCGTTTTGCTCGCACCCAAATCAAACCCTAGATTCTCTCGATCTAGCGACGAACCCTGATTCTCGACCGAATTGTCTCTCGAATCTCTCTCGATGGCTCCGAAGAGAGGAAGAGGAAGAGGAGGAAGAGGAAGGGCTCCGAAGGTTTCCCCAAATCGACCTGTCGCCAATCGACCCACTGCTTCTGGGACGTCAAATCGAAGACCCAGTACTCTTCCTAGCCAGTATACCTTCACTCCGGCGAATCCTGAAGCCCCAGAGACTCAGCAAAGTCCGGTAAATCCTGTAGCCCTAGAGTCTCAGCCTCCGACTCATAGAGACTATCCTCCTCCGACGCAGCTGTTCCAGTCCGGCGATGATTCTCCTCGAGGCTCTGGGTCGCATCCATTTCGGGAATCTGGATCTACTCAAGTTCGAGGGTCTGGATCTGTTCAAGGACGAGGCTCTGTAGGATCTATTCATCGTCTAGCTTCTCGGTCGAATCAACCTCCTGCGCCGGTTCAACCTCCTGCGCCGGTTCAACCTCCAGCGTCGACTCAGCCTGCAGCGTCAAATCGACAAATACCATCTCGTCAACAAAGACCTTCTCCTCAACCTCGAGCCTCTGTATCGCATCATAGTTCTCAGGCTCAAAACTCACACGAGGAATCTGAAGATGAGGAAGCTGAAGGTGAATCTGAAGAAGATGTGTTGAGGGATTCAACACTCCCAGAAGATGTCCTCGCAGATTTACATGCTACACTTCTCATCCCAGGCCGTGAGAAGTTCACCACCGTCATCTCTCCCAACCTCGAGCCTGAAACCACTTGGTAAACATTTTTAATTTTGATTGTATATAGGTCTGATTGTATATAGATTAGGTAAATAGGTTAGCTTGGTAAACATTTTCAATACTTAAGTAGAGTCTTCTTATTGGTCTGCATGTTTTGGTCTTATAGTCTGTTAGGTTTGCTTGTATATAGGTCTGCTTGTATAGTTTGAGTTAGAGTCTGTTAGTATATAGTATTAGCTTTATTGGTCTGCTTGTATAACTTAAGTAGAGTCTGGTTGTATAATTTGAGTTTGAGTATGTTTGTATTTGATTAGGTCTACTTGTTTATAGATTATGGATGGTATCAAAGCTAACTGGTTTATTTGATTGTAGGTTTGGTAAGGACAATGGAAAGCTAACCCGGAAGATCACTAAATGTTTCACAAACAAGTTTGATGGGCCATATTACAATTGGAGCTGTGTTCCTACTGGTAGAAGAGAAAGATACTTCCTCGAATTCGCGGTAAAATTCTGTCTCCTCTTATACTTATGTAATTACACTTTTGTTTTGTTTTTTGATCACTTACACCAAACTCTACTCTTGTTTTGTAGAAACTACACACCTGGCATCCTTCAGTGACAGGTGTTGTTGAAGCTAAATTCTACAAGATTTGTCAGGTGCGGATGAAAGACATGGTTAGCAAGGCATGTTCAAAACGAGAGAGGCCAAATTGGATCGAGACAAAACTTTGGATAGAGATGTGTGCCTATTGGGACACTAAAGAAGCATTAGCAAAGAGTTCAACCACATCAGCAGCTAGGATGTCTGACCGTAATGGTCTTGGTCCTCACAAGCATGTTGCTGGTCCAAAGTCGTTTTTACAAATAGAGCAAGAGATGGTACATTCTGACCTATTTACTTTGTTTTAGTTTTAGATTACTTAGACCTATATATTTACTTTGTTCAGGAAGTTGAATTGGGAAGACCTCCTACTATTGGTGAAGTTTTCATCAGGACTCATACCAAGAAGGATGGGACTTTTGTGGATAGGAAGGCGCAGGAAGTCCATGAAACATATCTCAAGAACAAGGCAGCTAAGTTGGCTGCCCTTCAAGAGAATGATGAACAAGCAGATGGGACTTCGCGACGATCTGAGCTATCTCAAGAGGAGGATGATGAGATCTTCCTTCAGGTAAATAGTCTGTTATTTATGGTTGCTTTTGTTATGCAGTCTAACTGTGTAATACTCTTTCTTTTGGTATGCAGTCTACTATCACAAACGACAGAGGAGAATACTTTGGTGTTGGCAGCCTCGGGGTTTACATCAACGGGAAGCGCAAGTACCCAGGAAGCAGTTCTTCTTTCACAACACTCCAATCACAGCTTGAGGATGCTAACCGGAAGATTGAGGAACAAGCAGCGCTCCAAGCAGAACGTGAAGCAGAGGCTTTGCGGGTCGCAGCTGAGCAAGCAGCTGAGATCAAGCATTTGGCGATGGTGAAGAAGTATTTGAGCGAGACTGACCCAAAGTTTATGGCCTTCCTCAAGTCTCAATCTGCTGCCACTGATACTACTACTGCTGCCACGACTGCTGCCACTGCTGCTGCCACTGCTGCTGCCACGACTGCTGCCACTGCTGCTGCCACGACTGCTGCTACTACTGCTACTATTCCTACTGCTCAACAACCATAGGTCCCTCCTTCTCTAAACTTTCCCTCCTTCTCTGAACTTGAAAACATTTGTGTTGCTTTGAAAACTTGTGTAAGTTGTTTGGTTACTTGAACTTGGTTCTTATGTTTATGTATGTTTATGTTGTGGTTTATTTTATAATGTTCTTATGTTTTAAATAGAAGTCTTTTTGCTTATAAATTGGTAATAACAATCAAATTAGCAACAATTTATTCTTCCAAAATTAGCATTCTAAGTCGATAATAATCAGTCGCAAAGTAGTATCAATTCAGTTACCAAAACATTTAGAAAATAGTCGCCATGTAGTGACATAACAGTCGCTAGATTCGTCACAAAACAGTCGCCAAAAGAGTCGCAAACTTAGCGACTGTGTGACGACTGAATAGCGACTGCAAATAATGGTCGCCTATTAGTCGCCAAATAGCGACTGTTATGCGACATATTAATTTAGCGACGATTTTGTTACTATTAGTGTAGTCGCTAAATCCATGTTTTCTTGTAGTGTTTTTGTGTTCCAGGCACTAGCTCGAGTCCATACTCCAGACGTGCATGCAAACTCATTCTAAAGGCTCAGACAATCTCATCAGCTACAAAGACAACATCAATCGGTTAGCTCGTGAGTTGAGAGAGCGTAGAGACAGAGACGGATGTGAACAGCACAATCCAGTTGCTATGGAACCACAAGACCAAGACAATTAGGGAGTTGGGATACCAAGGAATATTGGTGCTGGTGATGCACCAAGAAACCATCAACAGCGACAGGGAATCATTCCACCTCCTGTCCAGAATAACAATTTCAAGATCAAGAGTGGATTGATCTCAATGATACAAGGAAACAAGTTTCATGGGTTGCCTATGGAGGATCCCTTAGACCACTTGGATAACTTTGACAAGCTCTGCAGCCTCACCAAGATCAATGGTGTTAGGGAGGACGGTTTCAAGCTGCGCCTATTTCCCTTCTCGCTGGGAGACAAAGCACACCAATGGGAGAAGACACTACCTCCTGACTCCATAGCATCTTGGGACGATTGTAAGAAGGCCTTCTTAGTAAAGTTCTTCTCAAATTCAAGAACTGCAAGGCTAAGAAATGAAATCTCCAGTTTCACCTAGAAACAGTCTGAATCCTTTTGTGAGGCCTGTGAGAGATTCAAAGGCTACACTACACAGTGTCCACATCACGGTTTCAGTAAAGCTTCTTCGCTTAGTACACTCTACAGAGGAGCTCTGCCCAATATCAGAATGTTGCTTGACACTGGATCTAATGGGAATTTCTCGAATAAGGATGTAGAAGAAGGTTGGGAATTGGCTGAGAACTTAGCTCAGTCCGACGGTAATTATAATGAAGACTTTGATCGCTCCAACAGAGCTATTGGTGATTCGGATGCCAAGCATAGTAAGGAGATCAAGGCTCTCAACGATAAGCTGGATAAGCTTCTGCTGACTCAACAGAAACAAGTCCACTACATCAATGAAGAAGAGCACTATCAACTTCAAGAAGGGGAGACTACTCAAGCAGAGGAAGTCAGCTACATACAGAACCAAGGTGGTTACAACAAGGGCTACAACCCCTACAAGTCTGCACATCCGAATCTATCCTACCGGAGTATGAATGTTGCCAACCCACAAGATTAGGTTTACCCCAACCAGCAACAGAATCAATCCAAGCCTTTCGTTCAATACAATCCAGGATTCGTCCCAAAGCAGCAGTTCAGTGGAGGTTATCAACAATAGAATCCACCTCCTGTTTTTGCACAGCAACCACAGCAAGCTCCACCTGCACAAGATCAAGACATGAAACAGATGCTTCAGCAGATTTTGCAAGGTCAAGCAACTGGTGCTAAGGTTCTTGATAAGAAAATGGCTGAGATTCACAACAAAGTAGACTGCTCCTACAATGATCTCAATATCAAGTTTGAGACTCTAAACTCCAAGATGAAGTACATGGAGAGCCAAGCTGCTTCTACTTTTGCACCTAAGAATCCCGGATAACTACCCGGGAAAGCTATTCAGAACCCGAAGGAATATGCTAATGCAATTTAACTACGCAGTGGTCGAGAGCTGCAAGCTCGACCTACCCTAGCACCTGTCACTGAGGACAGTGAGATTCAAGAAGGGGAGGATTTCATTCAGAATGAGACTCAAGTCGAAGACACAACTAAGCTTGACCAAGATACTGTCCCTAGTGATCAAGCTAAAGATCCTTAGATCGAGAAACCTGTTGTTGATAAGAGTAAAAGGAAAGCTTTCGTTCCACCACCCTACAAGCCCAAAATACCATTTCCTGGAAAATTCAAGAAGGATATCATTGAGAAGTACAGAGCAATGTTTGCTAGACACATCAAGGAGATAGAAGTAAAGATGCCTCTCATTGACGCTTTCATGCTGATACCGGATTCTCACAAGTATTTGAAAGACATGATAATGGAGAGAATTCAGGAAGTACAAGGAATGGTTGTGTTGAGTTATGAGTGCAGTGCTATCATACAAAAGAAGATCATACCGAAGAAGCTAGGAGATCCCGGTTCATTTACTCTACCTTGTTCACTGTGTTGGGGTCGGATCCCACACATTTTCGGTAGGATCCACTTGGATCTGTCCACGTCATTATTACATAATAATCCCCTTGGAATTAAAGATATTTTATTATGAGAATCGAGCTTAACCAGTCGGGAGTTCGATTCAGTTTATAAAAAGAGTTCGATCTTTACCAGTACGGAGTTCGCTCTTATTTCAACATACAGTTCGCATAGAGAAAGGCCGAAGCGAGGAGAATATTGTTCGAGGCTCGCGGTAGCGTCAAGACGCAGGAGTTCGGAGGCAACAAGAAAGAGTTCGGAAGATCCACGCGAAGCCCAAAGATAGTTCAAATTCAAGCCTTTTCGGTCAAAATGTAACTTACATGATTAATGCGGATCAATGCAATTATGAGCAGTAAATGACCGCATTGATCATGTTTTCTCTATAAAAACAACCTCAAACGCATCTGTTTGGGGGGAATCTGATTATTCATTACTTCTAAGCAATACAATACATTTTTCTCTCTTTACTATTTTTCGCAAGGCATTTTGTAATTCATCTTTCGACAAATTTCTTTACTCCTTTTCTTGGTTGTTGTCCATTTCAAATTCTGGTATTTACTTCCTGATTTAACAAGAGTTTTTCTCCACAAAAATACTTAAAGAAAATCGAGTGTGAATCCTACATCCACATTTTGGCGCCGTCTGTGGGGAGTTACCGCAAAACTCTTTAATCTCAAAATCCTTCTTTCCCAACCAAGTAACTATGGCTGATCAGCAAGCATTGAGCGATCTGACCAATCAAATGGGTACACTTGTTACTACCAACACCGCTTTTGGTGAAAGGTTAAACTCAATCGAGCAAACCTTAACAAGTGTTCGAACCACCCAGACAAATTTGTCAAACGCGCAGAACGCTGTTTCGAGCCGTCTAGATAATTTGTCCTCAGTGCGAACAACTACGCTTCAGTGCAGGTTATTCGCGACTCCTGGGATTACTCAAACCCCTCCAGGAGGCCAACCTGCTAATACTAGCAACCATGCAGCCGTAGGGGATGCGACTAACCCAACCGGGGAACAAATTCCCCAGGCTCAGGGAAACCTTCCTATTGAAGACGGATTCCTTATGGAAGACCTTGATGTCACCCAATCAGACGATTTCATTAAAGTTCGTCAAGAGCTTAAGGAAATGAAGTCGAAATTTCATCAGGCGACCAGTTCGGCGCCTGAGATCGATCGAGTAATCGAAGAAACTCGTCGAACACCCTTTACCTCGAAAATCTCGAACCTTCGAATCAAAGATTCTCGAAAAGTTAAGTTACCAACTTATGACGGTAAAGGAGATCTTAAAAATCACCTCGCTGCTTTTCAGATCGTCGCAGGAAGAATTGATCTAGAACCAGGCGAGAAAGATGCCGGATTTTGTAAACTATTTTCCGAAAATCTTTCCGGACCGGCTCTGTTATGGTTCACCCAGTTAGAAAATCTTTCCAGACCGGCTCCCTTGCATAGTGTCCTTTTACCTGACATTTAAAACAAGTAATATCACGAGCTCTTTGATTATTAGGCTTACCTTGTTCAGGTCTGACTCCTTTTGATGTTTCCGGCATAGTCTTTTTGAATTTTGGATCCACATCGTTAGGTTTTCCTTTTTCTAGAGCTTTTTGAGGCTGTGGGGTCCAAGGGGCCTTGCTGCGGTTGCTTGAAGCAGTCTTTCTCTTGATGTATTGCTCAGCCTGAACTGCTATGTGTAGCAACTCATCCATATCATGATAGGTCTGTCTTTCTACCTTCCTAGCAATCCGATCATGAAGTCCATCCAGAAACTGTGCCATCAGGTTCTCATCAGATTCTTCTACTTCCAATATGTTCTTAAGTGATTCAAACTCCTCATAGTATTCTTCCACAGATTTGGTTCCTTGAGTGAGCTTTCTGAACTTCTTCTGCAGCTCACGGTGGTAGTAGACTGGGACATATCTCTTCCTTAGCTGAAACCTCATGTCTTCCCAAGTAGTGATTGGTACATGTATGTGCCTCCTCCTTTCGGATACATCTCTATCCCACCAAGTTAAGGCATTATCAGTGAGTTGAGCAGCAGCTAGGGCTATCTTCCTTTGATCTGAATAGTTGTAGTAGCCAAAGATATACTCCATACGTCTCTCCCAATCAAGGTATGCATCAGGATTAACCTTTCCAGCAAAAGTTGGAGCCTTGAGTTTGAGATCATGGCCTCCTTCTCTCCGGTTGCCTTCATCTCTTCCTCTTCCTCTATGGTACTGTCTCCTTGGTCTCAGGTTGTGGTTAAGATCACGTTGTTCTTCTTCAGAATCAAACAGATCTTCAACATCATACTCTTGGTTGTCTCTTGGTGCAGCAGCAACATGTGCTCTAGGTGCAGGTGGGGGCTGTTCAATCCGATTTATGCGATCAACAAGATTCTGGAGTTGAGTTTGGATGTTTGCAAGTAACTGAGCCACGTTCACATCTCCTCCTTGTCCCTCCATGATTGAAAGCGTTTTCTGTCTCAAAGAACAAATAGATCAAGTGCGCGGGAAGTTGAACGGTCTAAATCTCAAAACAGACAGATCTAGGATATGAACGGTTTTAAACAATCAAATGATCAGATCTAAGCGTGGTTTTTATGGGGTTTCCTTTTTAGAACGTGAACAATCACAATAGAGCAGAAACGAACAGATCTAACAAAGGAAAGAAGTCGAAACGAACTGGAACAAAAACGAAAAGACAAAACCTTATTTGGAGCGTTTTAGCTCTGATACCAGATGATACAGGCACGATCCTGCAGATTGATTGACTCGACCAACTAGCTCGACCGACTAGCTCGACCTGACGCAGAGTGGAGTCTACTAGAGCTAAAACAAAAGGTGGAAGATGGTGAAACTGTTGCTGGAGTAAAGTCTCTCTCAACAGATC